TGCTAGGAAAAAGAAAGATGATAACTTCAAAACAGTCTCAACTTCCCACATGGACCTGTCCCTCTCGCAAAGTCAGACCTTCGCTAAGTATCTTAAAGATGCTCGATAAGTTAACAGTCATATTTAGAGGATTTATTTTCCTGTGTTATACTCACAGCCCAAGCTCTGCAACTGGCGACATGAAAGCCCTTCTGTATCTCCTTCTAATTCAGATATGATATCCTGTAAAAGCCACCCAGGAGCAGGTGTCAGTGGTACAGGGACCCTTCCTCCCAGAGCCGGGATCCGCTTCTGTGTCAGCAGGGACATCCTGGTCAGTTCTCCAAGGCCCCGAAGGCATGTGATCTCCTTAGCAAAGGCTTTATTCCAAAGCGAACTGTGTCTCCTGGTCAAATCTCAATTGAGATTAATCTGCTGCTTGACGTGTGGCATGTCGTCTGTAGTACAGCGACCACGAACAGCATTTGTTTTCTTTTACTCATTTCAGTTTGCCCAAAGAGCAGATGCACAATCAACAGCATACAACACCCCTCTGAAATATGTACTCAAGGAGAGAAATTCGCCAAGCCACTAAAGCAAACAGCTCTGGACAGAAAAGGCTCCATGGATTGTCTAACACAGACACTGGCATTGCTAGAAAGCAGCATTTTCCTAATGTCACCCAAGCAAATGGATTTCTTAAAATTTAGCTCATTAATAAAAGGCATTTGACTCTTTACAACCATATTCACCATCTAGTTTTTTCAATATGAACATGTTGTCAGCTATCATCTGTGAGACTCCTGCTGTGCACCCAGACCCGACACTCTGCTTCTCTCATTCACAACAGTATTATTCTACAGAAAGGTGATCCTTGGCCACGTGAAAATATACCTGGTTTCTGGAAAGGAAAACAAAACAAGCCATCAAGCCTTGTAATCACATGGAAACACGAACTTCCTCCCCAGATCCGCAGCTGCCAGCACTGTGCAGCTAGTGCCTTTCTTTTTAAAGACTTATGTATTGAAAGAGAGAATTAGAAGAGAGGGAAAGAGAAAGAGACGAAGATCTTCCATCCACTGGTTCAATCCCCAAAAGACAGCAATACCTGGGGCTGGGTCAGAACGAAGCCAGGAACTCCACCGGGTCTCCCAACTGGTTGGCAGAGGACCAAGTACTTGGGGTCCTCCTCCACTGCTCTCCCAGGTACATTAGCGAGAAGCCGAATCTGCACTGGAACAGCTGGAGGCCCAACCCGCACCCCTGTGGGATGCTGGCATCGTAGATGCCAGTACAACCCAGTACACCACAACCTCGGCCCCAGCTAGTCACTTTTCTAAAAAAAGTTACATAAGCAACAGCACAAATCTCTGTGTGGGGCCTTCCAGTGGCCTATTTACCTTATTCAAGAGGACAGCATCATGATCACTTCAGTGTTCAAAACACACATGAAGAAAACGAACAACCCTACTTATTAAAAGACAGCTAATAGTCAACATGCACCAAGAGATGCTGCCAGGCTCAGAGCTGAATCCTCAGCACACCCCAAGGCTGACATCTGTGTCACTCCCATATTACAGAGGATGAAACAGAGGCTCATCTTAGTCCAGGTCACCCAGCTACATGGCTGGGGCCGAACCAGGCCACGGGGCCTCACCACATCACACTGCACAGCTGGAGCCAGACCAGGCCACGGGGGCTCACCACATCACACTGCACAGCTGGAGCCAGACCAGGCCACGGGGCCTCACCACATCACACTGCACAGCTGGAGCCAGACCAGGCCACGGGGCCTCACCACATCACACTGCACAGCTGGAGCCAGACCAGGCCACGGGGCCTCACCACATCACACTGCACAGCTGGAGCCAGACCAGGCCACGGGGCCTCATCGCATCACACTGCACAGCTGGAGCCAGACCAGGCCACGGGGACTCACCGCATCACACTGCACAGCTGGAGCCAGACCAGGCCACGGGGCCTCACCGCATCACACTGCACAGCTGGAGCCAGACCAGGCCACGGGGCCTCACCGCATCACACTGCACAGCTGGAGCCAGACCAGGCCACGGGGCCTCACCGCATCACACTGCACAGGACACACTTATTCCAGGGAGTCTGAAAGCATGCCAATGTCTCACATGGTGACTGCTTCTTCCCTAACAGGAACTACATCTTGGACCATACATAGAAACATTCAACAAAGTCTCAACTTGAAACTGTTCTCTCAGTTTCTCAGATGGGAAATCAGCTGCAGGAAGCTTCTGAATCCTCACAGCCCTGGGTCTCTGGCTCATTCTGGAGCTCCAAGGCTCTTGACCGTCACTTAGCCCCAACAACTCATTTCAGGAATAACAAACAAACAAACAAAAAAAAGTATTTGGAAAAACATCTGCATCCAGTCCAGTCTAAATTACCACATTCCCAATCCAGAAATATTTGAGGGTTTTTTTTCCTTCCCCCGAAGCATCACTTTAACAGATAATCTAACATTTCAACACTACACAGAACACGCTTTGCACTTCTGAACTACTAAGACAAACATCATGACTCAATCACCAGTCAGCAGCTCGAGTGTCATGATGCCTCATTACATCCTTACATCCTTCACATGAACCCCAAATGTTCAAGTACAGCCATCCCCACCTCGTGTGGAATTCCCATTCATTTGTGCTAGCTTTTCCAGGGCCCTCTGGGTGACTGAATGTAAGCTCACCCCACAGAGGAGGCAGCTGCCTTCAGACCACACAGGCCGGAGCAGCCAGATGAGCCTCCACCGGCCTAGCCAAACCCTCGCCGCCGTTGCTAAGAAACTACAGTTTTCCCGTATTATAAATCAGTGGAAGGCAGCTTTGCTAGATAAAACATGGCGAGAACAAGAATTTCACCTGCTATGCAAAACGAAACTCTGCTGTTTTCACAGATCAGATCGATGCAGCCAGTACTAGGCAGTTTCTAAGTCACGGCGCTAACAAAAACGAAAAACTGCAATGTCAAGTCAGGCTAACTCCACCCTGACTTCCACAGCGACCTCACAGTTTGAGGGGGAAAAAATAGTGGGGAAAAAAAACCCTTCAGTGATATGAAAAGCTGAGGTCATAAAGTCTACATTAAAAGCTAGATGAGTATCACAAGCACATTTTACCAATTTTTTTTTGCTACCATCTTTCTCATTTTCTGTCCAGCTTTTCCTTAGAATACTTAATTCCACTGGCTCTATCACCCACATTTTTAAAAAGCCATTTAAAAGTCAGCCTTTCTAAAAAGAATAATCTTTAATTGTTCTAGTACAAGAGAAGCACAGAGATTAGCAAAAGCAAATTACAGCTCACTCTGCAGAAGGCTTCATAGTTTTTAAAAAAAAAAAAAAAAAAAGGAGGGGTGGAGGTGGGGAAGGCCAACCTGTTCCAGGCCGTTTCCAGGAGACCGGTTCGCCAGTCCGACAGAGGCAGGCCTCGCTTCCCAAGGACCTGCCACGAACCCCGAACCCCGCGAGCCAGCCTGGTGCACAAGCCGCCCTGCTGCCTCCTCCCCCCAGGGGCCCCTCTTCTCAGCTCGGAACCCACTTTCCTCGCTCGCAGGGTGCCCTGCACCACGGGCAGGCGCCACCACCTTCGTCGTTGCTTCCAACTTTCCCACCGCCCCCATCCCTGGCTCCCCCAGAAGCGTCGCCCCTTTGCCCGCACGTCCTCCACCCTGCGGCCGACGCGACACCCCGATTTCTGCTCGTCCTCCCCCGCCCCACCTCGAGACCGGCTCCCTGCCTTTCTCAGCGCAAACCCCCCCCCCCCCATCCTCTGCTCCAGTTCCTCTCCTTATTTAGAAACTCCACCTCGCTTCTCAGCCGCCGCGACCCCGGAGCGCCCGGCCCTCGGGGGACCCTCACCGCGGTCACCAAGCAATCCCCTCGCGCTTCCCTCCTCCAGACCCCGCAACACGACCCTCCCCTCCACCTCTCCGGAGGGCTCCCCCAAATCCTCAATGTTCCGGGCAGGACTCCCTGCCCCCAACTGCTTCTCCCCGCCTCCCCCCAACACACACCTTCACCCCCATTTTGCAGGGATATCACCCGTCTCGCAGTCCCCAGCCCCAGGAAGCACCCCCGTTCCCTCCTCCTCCTTCCCCACCTCCACCCCGCGGGCCTGACCGACAGCTGCCCGCCGCCCCCGCCACTCCGGCGCCCAGCCTCCTCAGGCTCACCCCGGAGCGCCCGGCACCTTCCTCCCGCTCCGGCCCTGCACCCCGGGGATCCCGGCTGGGCACCCTCCTCCCGCTCCGGCCGTGCACCCAGGGGCGCCCTCATCCCGCTCCGGCCCTGCACCCCGGAGCGCCCGGCACGGCACCCTCCTCCCGCTCCGGCCCTGCAGCCCGGGGATCCCGGCACGGCACCTTCCTCCCGCTCCGGCCCTGCACCCCGGGGCTCCCGGCACGGCACCCTCCTCCCGCTCCGGCCCTGCAGCCCGGGGATCCCGGCCCTGCACCCCGGGGCTCCCGGCACGGCACCCTCCTCCCGCTCCGGCCCTGCACCCCGGGGCGCACGGCACCTTCCTCCCGCTCCGGCCCTGCACCCCGGGGATCCCGGCACGGCACCTTCCTCCCGCTCCGGCCCTGCACCCCGGGGCTCCCGGCACGGCACCCTCCTCCCGCTCCGGCCCCGCACCCCGGGGCGCCCTCCTCCCACTCCGGCCCTGCAGTTCGGGCGCCCTCCTCCCGCTCCGGCCTTGCACCCGGGGGATCCCGGCAGGGCACCTTCCTCCCGCTCCGGCCCCGCAGCCCCGGGCGCCCTCCTCCCGCTCCGGCCCTGCACCCCGGGGCTCCCGGCACGGCACCCTCCTCCCGCTCCGGCCTTGCAGCCCGGGGCGCTCTCCTCCCACTCCGGCCCTGCAGTTCGGGCGCCCTCCTCCAGCTCCGGCCCTGCACCCGGGGGATCCCGGCAGGGCACCTTCCTCCCGCTCCGGCCCCGCACCCCGGGCCGCCCGCCCGCGCCTCCGCCCCGGGCCGCCCCCGGCGCCGGCACTTACCGTTCTGAGCTGCTCCTGGCTCCGGCAGCAGGGAGCCAGACACTAGCAGCAGCGAGAGGACCAGGGCGCTGGGCAGCGGCGAGCCCGACATCCTCCCTAGCACGACGCGGATCGAGCCTGCGGGCCTGGGCTCGGGGCCGGGGGAGGGAGGGGAGGGAGGGAGGGGAGCGCGCCGAGTGAGCGAGGCCGGCACCGCCGCGGCTCGGCTCCGTCCTTCCCCGTCCTCCTGCCGCCGCAGAGCCCAAGCCTCGCGAGACTCCCCGCTCCGGGCCGCGGGCGGCTGCAAAGGCTCGCGAGAAGAGGCGGCGGGGCCTTGCCGGGCGGCCCCGCCCCCGGCCGAGGCCGATTGGTCCGGCCCGAGAGGCGGTCACGTGCCCGCCGCGCTGCTGGCCACGTGACGGGCGAGGCTGCCGGTGCGCGCGTGCGTGCGGCTCGCGGTGGGCACAGTCGGCGTCGCCGTGGCAGGCCCCGTGGACACGCTGTCCATCTTGTGCCCTCGTCCTGCCTCGTCTGGCTGGAGCGCATGGTTGGTGTGACAGCTCGTCCCTCCCCCGACCCGCTTGCTTCCTTGTCCGGGATCCTCGGGCCTTCGAGCCTCGCCCGACGCCCAGCTGACCTGCATGAGCAGTCACCGCGAGGGAGTGTCAGACGCCATGAGCGTGTCACGGCCAAGCCCGCTCCACGGCCGGGAGTGGCGGTGTGAGCAAGGAGCTGCTTGTCCCTTTAGCCAGGGAGCCCTCCCGGAGGTCACGCTGGTGGCGGTTTGTGTGGAGGTTTTTTTGTACTCGCCTCAGCACGGTAAGCCAAGACCCCCCCCCTTCTGGGGAGTGACGGACACGAGCAAGCTGGCCGAACAGCAAGGACTGATGAGCGCACTGGATTCGAACACTGGACTACGTAGGGCACAGTCTTTCTAATCCTCCTGGCCTGCAGCTTCGATCCCAGCCTTTCCAGCAAACACAGCCACTCTTGCTGTGGCCCGTGGAAGTAAAAATTAAACATCCCTTGAGTGGAGGGGCTGTGAAGTCATTAAGCACACAGCAGTTTTTTGTTGTAGAGTACAGATGGAGAGCTGATGCAAGCTTTGGTCAGATGCCATGATCCTGCCTCTTAGCCCTAACATGTTCCCATGGGAACCTTACAACAAGACAGTGGCCCTCCCAAGGATGACAGTTTGTGAATAGAGTAGCAGGCGGAGAGAAGGACTGTCCCTGCAGCAATGTTTATGACGACCGTCAATGCTGGCAGTAACGCAGTCTGGTTCACCTGCTGCCTGGGCCCACGGATACATCGCTGCATCCCACCGTAAAGACCCGGGGTGGCATGTTGGGAAAGAGCTGTGCATCATATTCATTCTTTTACCTTGGTGAGTGAACATGTCCAAACGAAGCTTCTCTTAGCCTGGGCCCCTAAGTTAAGCACCGTAAGCTGCAGCTGTTGTCATGGAGCGCAGTAGGTTAAGCCAACATTTGCCAACACCAGAATCCCATATTGGGTAAGTGGCTCCGTTTGTTATCCAGCTTTCTGCCAACACACCTGGTAAGGATATGGAAGATGGCCCAAACGCTGGGGCCCCTGCCACCCACGCGGGAGACCTGGATGGAGTTCCTGGCTCCTGGCTTCATCCTAGTCCAGCCCTGCTGTTGCAGCTATTTGAGAAGTGAACCAGTGGATAGGAGCTCTCTTTATGTGTCTCTCCCTCATTCTTCTGCCTTTAAATTTTCTCTAAATTTTTAAGTTTTGGGTTTTTAATGTTTATTTTCACTTGAAAGGCAGATTTTACAGAGAAAAGGGAGGAACAGATCTTACAGTCAGCTAACTCATTCCCTGGATAAGCACAGGCACTGAACCCTCAGGAGGCAGCAGGTGGAAGGTGAGGGATGTGTTTTCATGGCTCAACACCAGCCAGAGCTGAAGCCAGCAGCCAGGACCTTCCTCCAGGTCTCCCAAGAGGGTTCAGGGCCCCAAGGCTTTGGGCCATCCTCCCTGTTTTCCCAGGCCACAAGCAGGGACTTGGATCAGAGTGGAGTAGCCAGGACACAAACCAGCACCCTTAGAGGATGCCAGCACCACAGGTAGAGAATTAGCCTGAAATGCTACTCTACCTGCCCCAGGATTTAGAGTTGTTGTTTTTTTTTTTTAAAGACTTATTTTTATTGGAAAGGCAGATTTATGGAGAGACAGAGAGACAGAAAGATCTTCCATCTGCTGGTTCACTCCCTGAATGTCTGCAGTGGCCAAATGTGAGCTGATCCGAAGCCAGGAGCTGCTTCCAAGTCATCTGCATCTGTACTGGAAGGTGGCCTAGCTCCTTGCAACACCTTGAGGGGGTCCTCATTACCTGGGCTCACACCAGCAGCTAGAAGAGCACCTTTCCAGTGTTGATAGCAACCCCCTGGTGGAACTATCTGCCACAGGGCAGTCCTGATTGAAAGGCTTCATTTGGGCGGGGGCCATGTGGTCCACTCAGTCCTGGGCAGGAGGTCGGACAAAACGATGTAGTAGTGGTGTCCCTCGAGCTGCTCCTGAACTTTCCCATGGCTCTCCTCCTCCCTCCTGCAAAGATCACTCTGCTCAATGACAGCTCTTGACTTTCAGATAGCAGCCCCCATCTCAACGGCTGTGACCTGACCTCCCAGTCTGTGTCATCTTTCCCCACCCCTCCCAACTCCTGGCAGCATCCGTGAACTCCGTCCTTCTTATTGATCCATTCAAGGGTGGGCCTTGGACACAGCCCTTAACATGTCACTGGGAATGCCTGCAGACCTGAGTGTGTATCATCCTGGCTCTGCTTCCTGTTCCAGCAGCATTCCTGCTAAGGAGGCAGCAGAAAAGAGTATTTGGGTCCCTCCCATCCACGGACATTAACCTGGGCACTCCTGGCTTTGCTGTTTCCAGAATTTGGAGGTGGTGAACAATTTTGATGGAAGTTTTTTTTTTTTTCTCTGTGTATGCGTCCCTTTCAGAGACAATGAAAATAGATTGAAAAGATCTGTTCAGAGCTCTGGCCACTCAGCCCTGCCACCCTCACGTCCAGCAACTGCTCATCAACTGAATCACCCTTCCGAGGGTTCTCCTTCAGTGCCTTGATCAAGCCCAAGCGCTCAAGAAGGGCCTCAGCTTTGAACCATGAAAGCACACCACTCACGCTCCACCTGCTGCCTGCTGAGAGTCCAGGGCCTATGCTCATAACCTATCGGCCCTAATTCATCATCCTCGCTCAAGTCCATCGAGTCCTATCTGTCCATTCTTCCTTTTCCTCTGGACTTGCCATCAGAACCCTTCTCCTGGCCACCTTGGCCTTCGTCATGCTTTCCTGGGAACACCCCCAAGCTGTGAAAGCTACAGTCAGAAGAGGCACCGTGCCTGTATGTGAGCAACTGAAATGTCACTGGAGGAAACGTCCATGGACAGGCCGAGGACCTACATTTCACACCAGTGGTCACAAATCTCAGAAGTCACCTCCACCACCTGGAAATCCTACTGTTCTCTGAGGGCATTTCAGAAAGTTCCTAGAACATGGAGTGAAAAGATGTTTTTCTGGGTCCACCTAAGTATCAAATCTTTACCTATGAGGCATCTCCAAAAACTTCATGAAGAGGATGTATAATGAAGAAACCTTTGACTATTTGACTTGAAAGAGTTAGAGATCTTTCTTTTGCTGATCACTCCCCAAGTGGCCATAATAACCAGAACTAAGCTGATCCAAAACCGGAAGCCAGGAGTGTTGCCGAGTCTGCTGTGTGAGTGCAAGGGCTTGAGCCACCCTCTGCTGCTTTCCCAGGCTTATACTTGTACATGTATAACTAGGGAACTGGATCAGGAATCGCAGCAGCTGAGTCTTGAACCGATGTCTATAGAGGATGCCAACACTGCAGGTGCAGGATTAGTCTGATATGCCATAGCACTGGCCTTGGAGGTTTTAGGTTTAAGATTTATTTGAAAGGCAGAATGACAGCGAGGGGGAGACAGAGCTATCTTCCGTCTGCTGATTATTCCTCAGATAGCCTCAGCAGCCTAGGTTAGTCCAGGCTGCACCAGGTACTGATACAGTACCTTCATCTGAGTCTTCCATGTTGGTGGCAGGGGCCCAAACACTTGAGTCACCTTCTGTGGCTTTCTCAGGCACATTAGCAGGGAGCCAGGTCAGAAACAGACCAGCTAGGACACAAACTAGTGATCCAATATGGGATGCCAGCATCACAGAATTGCTATACCACAATGCCAGCCCCCGTTTCAAAGTCTGCATACCCTTGTTTCTCAAAGGTGGCAGACCACACTTGTATCTGCAATGGTCACATGAAGGAAATGCTTCCTCTTATTTCTCTAGATCTCTGTTCACCTTTCCAGTAAAATGTCAAGAACTTCAGCATCAGTCATTTTGAACTTCCTCCCCCACCCTGGAGACACAGGATGAAATTCACGGGGTCTCAGACACCTCAGGATGTCACATTTTGGTGTTTTTCTACTGGTGTGTGCTGCTCATGCCCCACAGCTTCCTGAAGGTGGGAGCATCCCTCCCCAGTAGATTGCTACCTTCCTTCTCGTGTTGGGTCTTCTGCATGGTGTGTTCTTTGTGTCCAGAATGTTCCAGTCTGCTTCTCATCTCTTCCACATCAACTTCAGATCATCCCTCCCTCCCCCAACATGAAAATAAAAAGTGACAACAGGGTATCATCTCACCCGCATGTGCTCATTTTAAAATCTGAGCAGTCCTAGTGTTGGCGGGGATGTGGAGCATCCGTCGTACCTGTATCCGAACAGCAAATCTGCTTTGGAGAAGTGTCTGATGGTTGATCCTAAAGTGGAATCACTCTCTGATCAATGACCCTGGGTGCCCAAGATAAACAAAAACACAGTTCAGGAAATGATTTGTGCGAGAATGCTCCCAGTAGGTTTATTCAAAACAGCTACATAAGAAGCAACTCAAATATTCAGTAGTTGAGTAGATTGACAAACTGTGGGATAGGCACACAAAGGAGCCCTAGGCAGCAAAATCAGTGAATAAAAGAAAATGGTCTGGGCCCAGGGCGATAGCGTAGCAGCTAAAGTCCTCTCCTCAAATGAGCTGGGATGCTATATGGGTGCTGGTATGTGTCCCGGCGGCCCCACTTCCCATCCAGCTCCCTGCTTGTGGCCTGGGAAAGGACAGCCCAAAGCTTTTGGAATCCTGCACCCATGTGGGAGACCTGGAGCAAGTTCCTGGCTCCTGGCTTTGGACTGGCTCAGCTCCAGCCATTGTGGTCGCTT